CGTCCCCATTTTTGAACTGTTGGAGAGTATTATTCATTGCTCTCTTGTTTATTCCATTCCACACAATAGACGCTGTTTCGCTGAGGTTCATTTTCCCTCCTTCTCGCCCGCGCTCACTCACAGAGTTATATCGCATTTGTTCCGTCCACTCCCCACAGTCGTAATTCACTTGCGTCTTATTGGAATGATTATCCTTGGTGACGGATTTTGTGATTGTCCTTCTCCTCATGTCCATTCCATTTTACCTAATAAATCTGGTTCTTTTATCCTACACTCTCTCTATCTCTCATCTTGATAAGTTGGACAATGTCTTATGGTGGTGCTGTGTCTGGTCATAGTCTGCAGACAGGAAGTTTATATCAACAGATGTATCTACATCCGGGGGGGGGGAATTTTGGCAAGTCAGACTTGCGTCACAGTGTGTGTGCGAGTCTATTGTTAGTACTGTCACGACAACTGACTGACTGCAGTAGCATCTCAAATAAATATGTGGTTCGATTCTGGCAGGGATGACTCCAGTGGTTTGCATCCACTACAGTCGGTTATTATTACTATCATCATTACAGTGTGTCGATTTGGCGATAAGTCTCCGATTTGGAAGTGCGCTGTTGATCGGATATGTTTACTTTGGGTGACGAGATTGACGATCACGGCCTCCAGTGGTTAAGCCACGTATTCCACCACGATCAACAGGAATAGTCACATTCGGAGGAGGGAAATATGATAGAAGTGTATCCGATGATATCCTGCCGGGGATGATGGGTGTGGTAAATGTACATGCAATCGATACGGCTGCGATCATGCCTGATCTAGCTGGCCTTGATCATGTCCCGAACTGTACCTCTCCACGCGTCACCATCCTCGGCAGCATATACGGAGAGTTCAATCCATTCCCTTCGCCAACGACGGATACCAAATGCCGAAGGCCCAAGAACCACCTCCATGGCTTGACGAATTCTGTCGAGTCAGGTTCCGAATTAACGCCTTCCTAGACGCCTCCAATGAGGCAACGGTGCCGGAACGAGCGCAGCAACACTGAGCTCCTGAGGTGGACAACGAAGAACATGCTGAAACTCCCTCAGTCGCCTTTCTTGGATGGCCTGGGATATGTTCGCTCTGTTATCACCGTGAGTACGGACTGTCTCATCTGAGGCGATGTCGGCGTACCTCACTCGAAGGAATGTCCTCAAGCGGCGGTGGTCAAATATCTCCAGTTTTCGCTCGTCCTCCTCGCGCACAGTTTAGCATTTTCAAACATAGTGAAGGAGGGAACGGACAGATACGCAGTACACACGAATCTTAGTGGCGATGATGTCGCGTCTGATCCTTAGGCATTTTCTATTTCTTGAGAAGATCCGTGGGGCTGCAACTATTCCGGAGAAAATGTCATCCTTACTCTGCCTATTCGACATCAGCCTCCTTCCGAGGTACTCAAAACTGTCTACTTCTTAAAGTTGACAGTCACCAATCCCGAAATCTACCTTCTTCTTCTTCGACTTTTTCTTCTCATGAATGCAGCTTGGAAACACTCTAGTCTTCCCAGCGCTTATGCATAAACCGACCGATTTAGCGACATCGTTCACCCGCGGCACCATAGACTACAGATCACCAAAACGTGAAGCAGGTAGGGCAATATCATAAGCATATTCGGGATCAGTCGGTCGGTGTCCGGGTGCAAATTCAACACCGTCACCCTCGTGTAGGGCCCTCCCGAGAATCCAGTCAATAGCTTATTTGAACAGAATGAGCGACAGGATACAACCCGGTCGAACGCCAGACCGAATAGCAAACGGCTGGGAAAGATTGTTGCGTACGAGTACTTGCGCGATGGCGGTGCGATAATACAGTAGGTGGGTTAGCTCATGAAATGTCAAAATGCGTTTTCGTTTCGTAAAGATTAATTAAGTAGGGTTGTAAAACTAACCATCTTGGAGCATAATTCCATCATAATTCAGTTGCCTCAGAATGTCGGCATCCAAATGAACTTACTAAAGACTGCATGCAAGAACTAAAGTCTGCAAAAATTAACTACATATTTAGCATGAAAATTCTTCATTGATTTTCGATGCCTCATAATGTCAAATTATAATTTATGCAAAACATCCATAAAAATATCCATTCTTCCGCTCATTTGGTATACATTTACGTCTTCTTCCAACTGTATACTCGACGAAGTGGTACTGTTCTGTTTTCGAAAACATTACCAATTCCCGAATAATTTTGAACCCGCTCTGCCGTCAAGCTTTCATTCAGGGTTTCCAAACTACAACCCATGTATTTTGCGCGTACGAATAACCCACATTTCTCTAAGGTATTGAAGGGAGACCATATGAGGTTCATAACATGTAGCAATGGATTTGATCCATATTGTTAACTTTACAAACCATATTAGTAAATACAGAGTCATGACGTTCTAGGAACGACCATTTCGCGGTATTAAAAAATCTCACAATTAGGAAGTTTTAGAAAAACGAATTATATACTTCCATCAAGTATAAAGTTGGAAGAAAACGTCATTTTCTACCAAATGCGCAAGAAAATGAATATATTTATGCATGTTTTCCATGTTATACAATTGAATATTTAACGGCATTTAAATCATGAGAAAAATGCACGCTACGTAAGTAGTCATTTCTTGCAGAGTATAGTTATGCATGCAGGCGGAAGGAAGTTCATTCGACAGCCGGCATCGTCGGGTAACTGAAATATAATAGAATTATTCTGCAGGCTGATTAGCTTTTCTACCCTATTTAATTAATCTTTTCGAAATGAAAACTCATTTCGGAATTTCATCTGACATTTCACTACTGTAGACCTCGATCATGGCGATCATTTTTAGCGATACGCCATCTGGTGCCATTATCCGCCACAGGGACGTACGATGGAAGGAAACGAACGTGGCGCCAAAGTCAACAAAGCAGACGGCCGTCACTTGCTGGTAGCATAGATAGGGAAAATTGCCTAATAATAATAATAATAATAGCTAATAGTAGTGATTATCTTCGCATTAACGTTAATGAGGCTTGTGCCGCGGTAGTTCTCGCATCTAGATTTATTCCCACTCTCGAGGACAGGTACAATGATGACTAAGCCCCAGTCATCAGGAACAACCTCGTTTCTCCACGCTTATTCACTCACACCATGGAACCAGGGCACCAGAATATCCAAACACGACTTGCAGATTTCAGCGGATATTACGCACTCTCCGGGCTCCTTGTTGTTGCGTAACTTTCGTGCGATATCGTAGACTTCTGCTTCAGAAGGAGGGTCGCATGACACTGCATAGGTAGGGGAGGGAAGAAACTACTCTGCAGAGGAGAACGACTGCGTGCTGGTTTGGATATAAAAGTTGAGACGGTGCTAAACGTGCTCACGCCAGAACTCCACTTTGGCAGAAACGTCAACAACAAAGTCGTCATTCACGTCGGGAACAGTGTCACGCAGTGTGAAGGACTTACCACTCACTTGGTGGATAATTTGTTAGCATTTTCGAGTGTCAGCAACCTTCGAGGTCTGTGCAATCGAGGTCGATATTTCAATCCAATATTACTTTCGGTCATCCCTGTCCGAATTTGCCGTCATTTCTCAAGTTTGGCGGAGCGAATCATCAATACGTAACCTGGCTTGAACCGTCTGAGCAGACAACTGCAGGGCTTTTCTGCTGATCCAATCACTGTGCTGTCGCTACGCATATCCAAGGCTTTTCTCAGCTGCCCCATAGATTGATGTTTTTGACGGTAGCGACCACTGATTACTGCCTTATCCGTCCGCTTGGGTAGTAGAACAAAACCGGATTTCTCTGCTCAGGGCCTCCGCAGCGCTGGTTTGCCGCATCTATGCCACATCTAGACGTCTAGGAGGGGACGTTTGTGGCGCGGATGAGAGGTGAACCTTCTGGTGTGTTCGAATGAGGACATGGTCCGACCCATGGGCCATCCAATCTGCGAAGAACATGATTACAATTGGTGAAATGCGATTGACAAGCAGTCGGTTCTGATCAGCGTATTTCAGCAACCTCACGCCATTTTCAACTCGAGATGCAAACACAAAGCGGCCAAGAAGATAACCGTTCGGGAAGTCCTCAGCTCCAGTCTGACCATTCCAATCCCCGGCAACAATCAGCAGATCGCGTAGAAGGAGTCTTTCAACTAACGCTTGCAACTGAGACTAAAACTCCTCTTTATCGCACAGTTCGATAACTGAATGTAGTGCGTACTCAGAGACAATGGAGATGTTCGTAAAGTGGTCCATCAGTCGCACGTAGGCCATTAGGTCATTGAATGTTTCCCAAGCAAGTAACGCGAGGTCCATGTCGAAAGTAGTGTGGTCGACAAGATTAAGATTCCCAATCAAAAGTCATAGAAGACGGTTGGAGTCGGACAACCTTTACTGTTTGCAAAGCGCGTACACAAGGCCCTGTAGGCAGTCCACCCGAGCACATTCTCCATGCAGTTTGTTGTCTGAGTTCGTCTTCGACGTGTTCTGTCCCAGCGCGTATATGCGCCCTCCGTTGTCTCCGCGTCCGCCAGCCAATCAGAGGGGGTACAGTGCTGATTGGTCTGGAGCACTCGCGAGGTTATTGACAAGCCCCGCGCCTCCCAACGGCGTATCGACAAGGAGGGTGAGGCGGACAGTAAAGCAGCGTGACAAAGGCGGAGGGTAAGGAGACGCGAACTGCCACAGTATCACCCGGTTGGACCGAAGGTGGCGAGTAGCGACGCTGAAGGATCTGTTGATGTCTACAAAACATGAGTAATCAAACGGTCAGGAAAATGAACATGCCGTCCACTACGGGTGATATATACAGGGGGCACGGGGGTAGAGTGAGTATAGCTCGTGGATACATTGCTGTTGGTTGATTAAAGAGTAATTGCAGTTGGGGGTTGTGGATATGAGGGCAGAGGGAGTAGACGGGACGGAGGGAAAAAGGGTCGAGGGGGGTGGAGGAGGGGGTAGGGAAACACAGGGCTCATCCGGAGGAGTGTCCGGGACGGCAGCTTTGAGATGGTCCACGCTCACGACCTCCTCGCGAGTTCCGCGTTGGATGCGGAAGTTCTTCGTCCCACGAGAGATAACTCGCAAGGGACCGACGTAGGGTGGTTCCAGGGGTATCCATGCTTACAGGTCTTTGTGCATTCCAGACCAGACGAAGCGGTCGGAAACCAGCCTGTCGGTTGCTCGACTCCCAGTGTGAGAGAGATTGTGCAGGGAGGAGATAACTTTGCGGCGGACGGATGGTGGCACAAATGAACTATGAGAAGGGGTGGATACGTCGCATAAAAAGATGTCGTATCCAGTTTTCATTGGTACTTTCTGAAGTTGGAGTCCGGAAACATCCTCATCACAGGGTGAACCGACACGGCGTTGTTCAGCAGCCATCTCATTGAGGTCGATCCCAGATGAAAGTTGGAGGTGAGCGATAGAGGGCCTGGACAGTGCGTCAGCCACCTCATTCTTTGTGCCATCAATGTGGCGGATGTCGTTGGTGAATTTGGAGATGTGGTCCAGGTGACCGATCTCACGAGGGTTTAGTTTATCCGAGTGGGAACGCATAGTAAAGGTAAGTGGCTTATGATCTGTAAAAATTGTGAACTCTCGACCTTCGAGTAAATGCCAGAAGTGCCTTCCGACAAGACAAGCGGCGAGAAGTTCACGTACAAATGTGCTGTAGCAGGTTTCGGCCTTGGATAGTTTCCTAGAGAAGAAAGCCAAAGACACGGTAGAATCTGACAGACTTTGTTGAAGAACCGCGCCAACAGCAACATTGTTGGCATCGACCATCAGAGAAAGTGAGTCAGGAGGGTGGCATCAGCCAGAAGGGCTTTTACCTGCCCAAATGGCGTGAGTGCTGCTGGTGTAAGTTCAAGGTTGCGCTTGGAACCTGAGAGCAGACTGGTCAGAGGTAGGATGGAATCGGCACAGTTTGCGAGAAACCGGCGATAAAATTTCACCATACCAAGCAACCGTTGCAACTGACGCTTCGAGGTAGGGAGTGGAAAGTCCCAAATGGCGGCAACCTTTGAGGGAAGAGGCCGAATGCCGTGGGAGTCGACAAGATGACCGAGAAATTCTAGGGAGGGCACACCTAAGACGCATTTGGACGGGTTGTGTTCTTCGGCGGTGGGGTTAACTACCAGAAGGTCGTCGATATAGGCGTAGACAAATGGCAGGCCGCGAAGCACCCTGTCTACGAAACTTTGGAAGGTCTGGGAGGCGTTGCGAAGTCCAAACGGCATGCGCAGGAACTCAAAGAGGCCAAAGGGGGTGGTAACGGCCGTCTTCGAAACGTCCTCTGGGGCTATGGGTATTTGGTGGAAAGCACGGACCAGACGGATCTTCGAGAATACAGACTTGCCGAATAGGACACCGGCAAAATCCTGAAGATGTGGGACAGGGTAGCGGTCCGGGCCAGTAGCGTTGTTCAGGGCCCTGTAATCACCGCAGGGGCGCCAGTCACCAGTGGCGGCCTTTGGAACCATGTGGAGGGGTGAGGCCCATGGGCTTTCATACTGACGGATGATGCCCATTTGAAGCATTTGCTCGAACTCGGACTTGGTGGCAGCAAGACGTGCAATCGCGAGACGGCTGGGGGCGAGATAACACGGGAGTGCTAATGGTCCGGATATGGTGAACAACGTCGTGTGGTGGAATAGAAGCGTTGAAGTTGGGAAGACTGAGGGCGGGGTATTTGGCGAGTGGTTGCCGAAATGGATTCTCGGGTTCAGGGTCCAAGACGGAGAGTTGACGGGAAGCGTCGGAGGAAGAGATACCCTGGACAGTGAGTTTCGTAGTGTGGTCGTGAAGACGTGACTGACGGCAGTCGACCAGAAGATCGAAAGCGGCGAGGAAATCTGCCCCGAGAAAGGCATATGGGGTGTCAGCAACGACGAACATCCAAGAGAAGAGACGCATTCGACCGATGTGCAGAGAGAGGGAGCAGGTGCCAAATGCGGTAATCGGCGATGTTTTGACGGCCAAAAGGAAAAAACCGGGATGGCGGCACCGACAATCAGCTGGTGTGTGTGGAATGACACTTAGCTGGGCACCAGTGTCAACCAAGAAACGTTGGCCACTCTGTGTTTCGTGGACGTAAAATGTGCGACCGGGGATAGAGCTGTCGGGAAGATTGGCTGCACTGACCTTCGGGCTGACCGGTTTTCCCAGTTAGCTCTGCTTGGAGGTGAAGAAGTAGGGAGAGCTGCAGTGACGGGCTTTAACACCAAAGGTGGTGTGATATCAGCAGGTGGCAGCTGTCTTTGAATGGGCTGAATGTGAAGACTGGAAATGCGGGGTGGACGGCTTCGGTTGGCTCCGAGATTAAGGGGAAACTGTCTCCTTCTGGAGATAAGCAATATTATCGTCTCCAGGGTCTTTATTCCTCGAGAGCCTGTGTCGGGTTGCCAAAATACCGACAGACAGCAGACATCCACGTTGTACTGATTAAGGCTGCGCGCTGTCATTATTTGTGTCCCGGGATTCAGGTACGTTCGCACATTCCAGCGTCCAATACCAAGATTCCGTCCCGGATTGCGTAGTCCAGCTCGCATGTTATTCGTTTGCACCACGGGACCAGGGTTGCAGAGTGCATCTGTTCCTGCGGACGCATTAGCATGGGTCGTAATTTTGTGATCGGACATATTTCATTAGGTTTTTTGGGAATTTCAATTATAGGCTGGGACTCAAAAGCCGCTCGGATGGTCTGTCCGAGGCTGTCTCCTCTAGCGCTTGGGCTTAAAATTCCAACCACAAGGCAACGGTGGCAAACAAACATATTTAATGAAGGTTTCGGGTCGCCATGCAATAATCCTGTTATTGCACATTGCGGCTTTTTCTTAAAGCATTCGGCATGCCAGACCTTAGCCCTCCGCGCCCTGGCAACACTGTCGCAGCTGGTCCTCGGCTGCTTATTCGTCAGACTCGGGTCTGCTTATTTCGCAGCTAATCTTCACTGAGGGCCGTTCAACTATCCGCCAACTGTGGACACGCTGGGAAGCCATCAGCTAGGCTAACGAGCTACCAGTCTTAGAGGGTGAGGTAACAGATGAATGTGTCCTTACGTGGGCATATCCTTCGACACGTTCTCCCAATCAGTCGCATAGTGAGCAGCAGTGATGCTGAAGGGGGATTAATAAAGTCATTGGAGTCGGCATTGGCCACCTCAGGTTCATTGGTCGTCGTCAACCAGCGTGTGAAACCCCCCAGCCAACACCTTCATCACGCCATGAACCATCCGTAGATCCCATGACTGCTACTGTTGTTGTTGTTGTTGTCTGCGATTCAAGTACACCGAAGCCATGTGCGTCTTTATCCAATCTGCGAAGAACATGACGTCAATAGGCGGAATGTGATTATCCAGTCAGTTGAAATTTACCCAGTCAATTGTCTGGGAGGTGACAGACGGCTCACATTAGAACCGTGATTTGCGCTTCAAATGCCACGCTCTCCTCCTTCCTCACTGACATGAGATCGGTGAAATGACTATGTCATAACGATAGAAGGCGTCGCAGGGTTCAATGACTGACAATGCTTAATATTCATTGATATTTTGGCAGATTATGAATAATTCACACTGACCCAACTGTGAAAAACTCGGCGCCATGTGGGATTCGAACCCACGCAGCAAGGGGGAAGGCTTTAGTACAGCCAACGCTCTAACCACCTGAGCTACGCGGCCCCTCCGGACGACGCGAGTTTTATCACACTTGGGTCAAGTTACATACCGAGGCGCCGAGTTTTTCACAGATGGGTCAATATGAATGTTAAATATGTCGTCAATGCGTGCTACACACAGACACGCGTGATATTCTAAGGAGGGGCCACTCCAACAGGGAAAACCGAGAGCGGTGCCTCGAATCTCAACTGAGTGGGATTACCACGCAAAGAAGAAGAAGCGGATGCGTCCGTCTCTTCGTCCAGATCGGAGGACCGAGATGTCCCATCACATGTGATTCTTCCAAGCCACGGTTGTTAGCTTGCATTAAAGTTTGGAATATGCAGTGAGTACCGTGATGTAGGAATCACCACATTGGAATTCACTCTTCATTTACTCTTCCGGGAATCAGACAGCACTCTGGACCGATAGGGCATTTGATGTGGATACGGGGCAGGCATGCTGAACAGTGCTGAGACAGTTCGTCTCCATGTGCCACACAGGACCTATACCACCACCACCACCAGCACCAACACCACCACCACCACGCAAACGAACTGGGCTACTGGGACTACACAGTCGTAGGAATCGGTATTGAGGAATTCCTGTTTTAGCATGTCAAAGCAATGACTCGGATGTCTGAAGCCAAGAGATCCGTCACATCAGCTCAGTTGAACATGGCTTCTCTGAAAGGTGATCCTGGCTCACAAACCTGCTTACGTCGCTCGGACATCGGTCAAAGGCGATGGAGGAGGGACATCCGGTGGATGACATCTTCTCTGATTTCAGCAAGTGCTTGATTGTGTTCCAAATAAGCGCCTCCTTCAAAGGATGCAAAGCGTATAGTCAAGAAGAAATCTCAGAAGTGGGATTCGACATCTTACAGACGGTCGTAGATAAAAGTTAATCTTGGTGGCTACTGTTCAGAATGGGCGTCTCATAAAAGTGCAATGTAACATGGGTCAGTTTTTGGGCCGCTCATATTCTCCGTCCATCTAAATCATCTAGTTCGGCAAGGAAAATTGGACATAGCGTCCTTTGCAGATGATCTTAAACTGTAGACGGTGATAAAAGATGAAAAATACGGCAAAGATGCCACGCGTATGTGCCTCACGCATGGTCGGATATTTAAAGGAGTGATTAAGATGTGCAGACAATCTACAGCCAAACTACGGATAATCACATTGGACAGCACTCTTTCCTATTGTCCGAAATTATTCTTTGTGTAAACGTCTTTTTCTCATTCCGTTCCAAGTTCAAGAGTTCGGCATTCTGAATAGCTACCTCGAACGCGTGCCTTTCTATGTTCCAATTTCCTCCGAATTTATTCTGTCCACCAGTCGTACTACTGAATATATACTGATTAGTTGCGTTCTTCAGATGTGATGCCCGGTCATGGCGTTGATTTCTCTCGCCCTGCCGTTTGATCTATAATCATTCGTCGGCAGAGAGCAAACGTCTTCTGGGGGTTAGGGGACAGTCCATGGGATATTGCGTTGAGACTCCATTTATCCTTCCTCCAGCAAAGTAAATTCTATAAACCCAACCGAAATACCCTGTCGAATTTCACTATTTACCTCTCTGAACTCATCAATTCCTTGCCCTAAGGCTGAGCAGAGGATAATACGTGGCTCTAATCCTTGCAAGCTGCAGACGCATGATATATCATTTCTACCGTTGACTGCCTTTCAGTCAACTGAATTGCCTCTTGAATAAATAAGACGGATATTATGCTTCGTATATTTTCTTTATGTATCCGACGACACAGAGGGACCGTATTTTGGGGCGGTAAAATTGTTTGCTGGCCCAGCAATCGAAGAAGCTGCTCACCGCAGCTGTTATGAACTGATTTCGATGCATAATAATTAGTACATTGATGGGGTCACTAAAATAATGCTAATTGATCTGATTCGCTGTGATGATGTTGGGTTAAATTAAACCTAACTTCGGACGTTGTCTACATACCTCATCACTGCCCAACCTAAACTAACACTGAACAATGGGTCCCACATAACTTTGCATAATATCCCACTATCATGGTCAAATTCCCACCTTCCTGGGATTTTTCAAGACACTTTGCTTCGCCTGTGAGGGTATCAGGCAATTCAAATGTCCTGAATCGATTTTGTGCCAGACTACATGTCGATCGATGTTGGGGCGTTTGAACGTGGCCAAACGACTTGCGCGTCAGAATTCAGAGACTGACAATGGCGAACGCTACCCCAACTACTTCGGTGAACTGCTCAAGGCGCCGGGCGCAAAAAGTGACACAATTATTTGGACGGCTCGCCAGATGGGCCAAGAGGCACTCATATGTGCTGTCTTCCAGTGGTAAGTGCTGTATCATTTCATCGTTGTCGGATCACTAAATGTACGATGGTCTGGAATTTGATTTTGGTTAAGATAACGTCTTGTGTTGGATTGTTCCCAGGCTCCCGTCTTTCAGTCTCAACACTATAGTAAAATAGAGGTAGGATGGAAACTGGTCCAGGAGACACTAGTAGTGTTTTCTTGATTGCCTAGCCTGAACTTATACTACGTGTCCCAGACACTATGGACGCTCTCATACACCAACAATGTTTCTGCCTACTTGATTAGCCACACGATGCAGGCCATATACACCAGGTTGCAAGTTGCGACTGTGTTGATTCCACAGAGTCGTTAGGACGACATGCATTTATGCCAATGTCCGAATATTCTCAGTCATTTTTCACGTTAGTTGTAGCCTTCAATATTGCTTCTTGGCAACGCATGTTAAAGTTGGCAAATGTGAGGCAACCAGAAATGCCTTATGGCACGTCTACATTACCAGCAATCAGGCTATTTATTTCCCTCCTTCCAGGCTGCCCGCAATCTGACTTCCCGGGGGCCGCATTCGGCGGCCGTTTGACACAGCAGGCAGAGGCGCCTCATCACACAGTAAGTACTCCGGATGCTGATGCTGATGCTGATGATGATGATGATGATGATGATGATGATGATGATGATGATGATGATGATGATGATGATGATGATGATGATGATGATGATGATGATGATGATGATGATGATGATGATGATGATGATGATGATGATGATGATGATGATGATGATGGCGGCGGCCAGAGAGGGCATTTTACATTTCATTGTCTGCTCTATCCTGTCACTAAACGTATTCCTTCTTGCATCACCCAGGGTGTCCCACGCCTACTGGTGGAGATGGTCGAGGCCCTGCGTAGACGTGGCCTATGCATTGAAGGCATTTATCGAGTGCCAGGACGCGCCTCCAGGGTTCAAGAAATAATTCAACTGGCAAATTCCGTAAGTCACCTACCTCATTAATCCTATGCATGCAGTGAAACATCATGCAACACAGAATATTCAGCTGACTTACCCTTAGTTGTACACTAACATGCAGATTCGCATATGTTTGCCCTTTCAGAATGCGAGGGAGCTGTGTGACCGACTGGTGTGGGATGAGGAGGCGTTTGATGGTCGCACATTATCGTCAGCCATCAAGCGCTACGTGGGCGCACTACCTGTCAGTCTTCTTAATGCCAACATGTTTGTCTCCTTTGTGGCGTCGACGGCGATGGGGACAGCGTCGGAGAGAGGTGGCCGGTCTCTGCGGACACCGGCAGGCCTGGCGAGCGCCTTATGCCAGTTGCGAGAAGCCCTCATGAAGGCATTTGGCTGCCCTGGCAATTCAAAGGCTGAGGACCGAGAGAGAGGGTGGCGATTGGCCACGCTTGACTTTGTCATGCGCCACCTACGGGAGGTTGTGGCCCTTCAGGCCATCAACCGCATGTCCCCACGTGCGCTGGCATTATGTCTCACACCCTCTCTCTTCGGCTCCACGGACGCTGCCGAGACCAACAGTCAGGTATGCATTACATCACAGCTGCCCTCTTTTACGTCTCTCCATGTAATCCCCTCTTTCTTTACTGGTCATTACCTCATTCTTATGCTATTTCATGTCTGCCACCATCACCATCAATAGGTGCTGGAGCTGCTAATTGAGCACTGGCCCTGGCTGTCACAGTGTCTGCACCGGGGCAGCCAGCCGGTGTCCGTAGAGGGTCTGGGCGAACCGGTATCCGATGCCTGTCTCTATGCTTGCCGGTAAGTCTCCAACCGCCCATCTCCTCCTTGCCATTATATCGACTTCATTTATTCTGACATTCATGCTTACTAGGAGACTTGCTTACTTTCTTACTGTGCACTCAGTTACAGTCCAATTCGTGCAGACATTTTAGCCATGCTATACTTCTTGCGGTTTTTGTCGCTGGCTGCCATGTTGTTGCCCTGAGGACTGAAATACGGCCTCCATGACAGCACAGATATTTTTCATTCTAGTCCAAAGCATAGGCTTCGCCAATTAATCTAGAGTGCTGTTCAATCTAACGGGTACTCAACCATGGCTCACTGAACACTCTCCCCTTTCTAGATACCAGCGTCATTGTTTTCTGCAGTCCCTGTGCCTACCACCGACCCTCCCACCGTCGCCGCCGCCGCCGCCGCCTTCAGTCACTGCCTTTTGTGCTGGCGCGTGTACATAGCCTTCGTTGGAATTATCCTTCCCCCACCCCCCCTTGCCACCCATAATTATTTGTATTATTATAAGCATGATTCTACCTCGTCCCCATTTTTGAACTGTTGGAGAGTATTATTCATTGCTCTCTTGTTTATTCCATTCCACACAATAGACGCTGTTTCGCTGAGGTTCATTTTCCCTCCTTCTCGCCCGCGCTCACTCACAGAGTTATATCGCATTTGTTCAGTCCACTCCCCACAGTCGTAATTCACTTGCCTCTTATTGGAATGATTATCCTTGGTGCCGAATTTTGTAACTGTCCTTCTCCTCATGTCCATTCCATTTTACCTAATAAACCTTGTTCTTTTATCCTACACTCTCGCTCTCTATCTCTCATCTTGATTAGTTGGACAATGTCTTATGGTGGTGCTGTGTCTGGTCATAGTCTGCAGACAGGAAGTTTATATCAACAGATGTATCTACATCAGGGGGGAATTTTGGCAAGTCAG